AGCATACCAAATCATAATTAAAATTGAAATTAAAATTTGTTACTTGTCTTTTTTACTTATTTTACAATACCTCAGAGGCGCAGAAAATTATGTACAGTAGTTGACAATTATTAGGTTTTGATATCCTTGCCATTACCACTTATTTTTTCATTAAAAACTAGTTTTAGTTAACTAACCAAAACTAATCAATTTCTAAAAACTAACTAATTTTATAAATTATTTAATTAATAATAATAATAAAAACTGCTTTATTGCTCAACAGAAAACAATTCATTTACAGAGCAACGTATAGAAATATCAAAACAAAAATAATACTTAGTAACGGAACTAAATTCTCCAACAGCGATATGCCCTTTGGTACACAATTAAGACAGTTTGCAATCTACGTTGAGGTTATATACAGCTAACGTGACCCCAAACATATGTTTCTCAATCCATTCTGTATGCAGTTAAATATATCACATACATTTGACAAATTATTACAATTGGAACACGGTACTTTTTAACAGATTTTTTTCTGTCGTTAACACGGTAAAAAGTGTCTTTAGTGCGAGAATTTAACCGTGGTATACGAATATTCAACTGGGAGAGTTTATAAGGTTTCAACAGAGCTAAAGTATAGGGTCTTCAAAACAAGGATATTTGTAAAAGGTTTACAATTACGCACAATAAAACCATAATTACGATTAGCCGCAGGTACAATTTTCGCTATATGATTCACACACGTAAGTGTTTGATCGAAATTGACGTCTACATCTTTAGTCTCTGTACAACGATCGAGACTTACATTTGAAATTCGATATGGAAAATCAGTAATTACATCTTTTCGACTGAAACTCCCTTCTCTATGTTAAGGTGTAAATGGTTTAAAGTACACCAGTGAAATAGTGTACACTCTGCAAAGTAACGCAGTCAGCTACACAGAAAATGCAAATAACAGTGTTTGAGTATTGCTGAGAACTGAAATAACGTTCTCAATAAATTGGAACCCTGCGACACCCCTGATATTGTGACGTATTTATTAGATTTATATCCATTGTAGTACACGCATTGCAACCAATCCAAATCTCTTAAGTTTTTGAAGTAAAGTAGCGTGACTAATTTTGTCAAAAGCCTTATTAAAATCGGTATATACATCTACCAGACCTTGATTATCTAGCACTCTTGTTGTATACTCCGTAAAGTGTACTAGATTGGTAACCGTAGATCAGGAATTATAAAAACCATGCTTTACTTTGCAGAGTTGAAAATGTGATCGGTCTATGATTACTTGATTTTTTTTCTTTTAAGAATAAGACACACTCTTAGTTTCTTCCAGTATCCAGGGTCGATTACAGATTACAAATTTTAGATTCTAGATTAAATATCACCGATAAATGTTTGTAGAAAGCAGTAATGAAATTTGTAACCAAAAAAGATGGAATTCCATCAGGCCCTGAGAACATTTTATCTTTTAATTTCCTTAAAGCTTTAACTATTTCATTTTCGGTAATTGGATAGAGATTAATGGTATTCGAGTTCAAATCTACATCGTAAGCAGTGCGACAAGAACCGGGTGGAAGTAATGCACTCTTAAAAAATTAGCAAACGTTTCCACGATGGTTTCGAGGATCATCAAGAGGATTGTCGTTGTAAACCACGGAACCGGGGATTCTGGTTATATCTTAATCTTTGAAACTCGATCGGTTTTTTTGTATTTTTTGTGAATTTTAGCATAGCACGTAGCATATTTACGGGTGTAATTTTTGAAAACACTTCGATAAAAAAATTTCATACAATCTCTCATTGAACCTCGGCAATCCTTCATCCACAATGTAGATTTGAACTAAGAACTCCCAACTGCCATGTAGAAGTTCAGCATATAATGTAACGTAATTTGCCTTTCTGAAATTGTAACATTTTTGAAATGTATTAGTTATGAAAATCTCTTTTATTGTGAGTTGAGGAATGCGAATTGTTAACGCAGGATGATCTTCGCTTTCTTTAACAAGAGTTACAATATCGCCGGCTACCGAACAGTTATTATTTAATACCACTAAATCAAGAAGATTTTCCTTGTTGTTTAGTACAGAATTGTATTGTTTTATGTTAAAAAAATGTACCATGCATTTGATAGCAAAAGTTTTTCGATCACTGTTGCTATAGTTAACGTATTCAATATTAACAAAACAATAACATTATTGCTGTCAATGGGTAAAAATGCTACATAGTAATCATTGGATACGGAAGGTGGTAGATACAATATTGCTATAATTAATGAATTATTTTGTAGAGTGCACTTTTAGGAATTTACAAATTAGGAAATCAATGTTCCGAAAATGTTGATCGAAGTAAGCAGTTTCACCAAAAAAGCCACTCCACCCCCAAGTTGTGAAATGCGCGTATTTCTTCTAGGCATTGGATTAAGACGAACTATGGTTTAAATAAGACATTTTTAAGGCAACAAACCAACCGCAGTAGGAAAATACAAATGTTAGGTAAATTCGAAATATTAATAATAACAAATTTTTATTTTAAATTGATTTCTGAAATGCCTTTCCACAATTTACAACCTAAATATCTCAATTGGTACTAAAATTGTGAAACGATTAGTGACCAAGTTAGTGGTAAGTAAAGGTAATACTAAATATTTGAAAACTGTTGATAATGTTAAAATAAAGTAATGTCAGCCATGACGTGGCGGGTGTCCTTCGAAGGTTGTAGTAGAAAAAAGTAATAAAGACGTGTGACAACATTTGATTCCGATTTTAAATATCATTTAGCATTTGAATAAGAAATTTGGAGGCAGACATCAATGAAGTGAAATGTAAAACTTCAACATATTTTTATTGGGTTTTTATTTAAGTAATATCGTAAGAAAAGTCATATCGCTTTTTTTTGGAACATTAATTTATTTGTGGTTATGTCATAAGATTGCGCCTTTTTAACGACTGCAAGATTATTTGGAAGTTATCAACATTTACTTCCGAAAATAACACCCTACACCCACATTTTTTGCAAAGATAGAGCAAACAAAAAAATCTGAATTTGTCTCAGCTTTAAAACAGAAGAAAAGAAGAAATTTTTTTGAAAATCTGTTGTCAAAAAGATAACAATCACGCCCTCTGGTTGACAATATGAAAAATCGAAAGTAATTTCCAGAATTATCTCTTGGCCGATTTTCTAAATAATGTTACTCTTACTGACACTTTTATAGTTACGAAATAGTCTGCTGGGCTTTGCTTGCAACTAGGTACATGCGATTTTGCTTAAGAGCATGTTATTGTTGATTATATTTGCCAACTTGCAGCCTCGGGCCACAATTATTATTATACATATTATCAGCTCTTGCATAATTGAGGATAATTTACTAGCGGTGAGAATGAGTCATACAGCTAGGCGGATTTTTCTCTCGATCTTTTGTTTATTGTTTTTTACAAGGCAATTTGCATTATTAAGATGGTTCTCGGCATACAGCGTAAACGTTTATGATAATAAGGCATCTCGTGTATTCTCAATTATTTTCAATAAAATTAATTAATTCTCGAAATCATATGTCCACTCCAAGAAAAAAGAGATACTTTTATGGTTATTCACGTCAATTTTGATAATCTCAACCAATGCAACCCCAATTTAACTATAGAGTAATATATACAGGCTTCGATTTAAAGATATGGAGTAATTTACAAAATGCGAAATGTGACAACACTGCAGCACGTTGCTAACATAAACATTTTCTTTACCGGGACAAAGCAGCAGAATTTGAAAAATGTTTGAAACATTCTCGCTATGACAGATTCCGGTTCTGTTATTGTTGTCTCTTTTAAACTGGGTACGTTAGACAGAGAGAAAGACGTATTATTGAATATGTCATATAAACAACACAATTTTAAAACGTTATGTTGTTTATTTAACTTTTACAATTGATCAATAAGTAGTTTATTGAAAGAAAGAGACCGTAGGTTAGGGCTTTTAAGAGGATTAAATTTTTAAGACCGTATAAGCAAGAAAAAGGGGGTCCTAACCTTTTGTTTTTTTTTTTTGTACTGATGAGACATGGATATTTGAAAATCGTACAATTGGTCTTGGCAAGATATTAATATAAAAACTGTAATAAACCACTAAAGTTCATGCGAACGGTAAATTAAATTTCTGTGGGAAGCTTAAATTATAAATGTCACTTTACTTACTGACTAGTCCACTAGATTTTAATGTAACTTATAGCACGTAGTATTTAAATTGTCTGATATATTGCATAACATTTTTCTATGTATTGGTTTTTGGGTACACTTTTGCAAAACAACACGAATACATTCACTGACATGACCGTCAGAATTGGCAAATGTCAATATTTAAACCGTGTGGTAAAATCTCCGAAAACATCCGATTGCTCCCAAACCGGTGCGGAAAAATCCCGGAAATGTCCGAAGTGGCTCGGATCCGTGGGGAACAACAAAACGAACGTGGTAAAGTGGCGCATCGCGCACGCTAGATCGGTGTGTAATTAGGCGTTTTACAGAAGGGAGTAGAAAAACGAATTTTTCATTGGTATGGTTATTATAAATTACTGGTGGAGTAAAAAAATATTAACTACCAATCAGATGGTATAAATTGCACATCGTTGATATGAAATTTTGAGTAATTGAAGTATCTGTACTAATTATTTAATTAATTTAATATATTTGTCGACCTGGACTTGGGAATGTTCTTCTCTGTGAAACAAATAACAGATGTGCGTTGGCGATCACTAATTCGAACTACTCCACCTTTTATACCTCATATTTTTATATCGGTAGTAAACAAATCGAATATAATCGGTGCTGCCGTTCTAAAAATAGCAACAAGCTTCGGCATATCGGGAGTGTCGACAACATGGCTCGCGTTTCGCTCCATTTAGGATTAATCGCGGGACACTTATCGACTCAACATCCTTACGCCTACGCAACGAGGCACGCCAGACCAAACAAACCCACCAAGGCAATCGATTGTTCCTATACGCATATAGGCTTTCCAACATTTACCTTCATCAACCGCTGCTTCTTCTTGGCTCGCGCTGCACTCCCTGCACACGGCCGTCCGTTGGCTCCTCCTCGCCATCTGTTGCAGGGCCATGAGCTGTTCCTCCCCCAGCTCCAGGTCTTTGTAACCCTCCGGCGGGCTCAAGGTCACGGCGTCCACGAACTCGATCGGCGGTGCGAACTTAGGACTCGGTGGCGTCTGGTCGAATCCATCGTAGCCCTGGTTGCAGTTACAATTCGGCTCACAGCAAGTCAACCGGACGATCTCGTGCTGATTACAGGTGCAGATACCGTCGTCGTCTTCGTCGTCATAATCGCACTCCTCGCGGATAAGGATAATATAATCGGCGTCGAAGAATTCGTTTTTGTTCTCGTTGAAGACCACGCGATTTGGTTTCTTCTCTTTGCCGCGTCCCGGCTTCTTCAGGAGCGACTTCAAGTTGTCCCGATCCGGATTATGTTTGACAGTTTCGGAAAGACCGCTCCCGTCGCCACGCATCTTGCCTCGCTTGATAACTATATAATGTTCTTCTTCTTCTTCGCAATCGCTGCACGCGTCGGATTCATCGTCTAGGAAGCCTGGGAAAGTGCTCACGTCGAATTGCGAGAAGCCGTGAGATTCTTCCGGGATTAGATCTTCCGGATCGCCATCGTCTTCGTTCACTACGTTCTGATTCGAATCTAAACTCAGAACGCCTTTGGTTTCGAACGAGGCGCCTCTTTGAAATTGATCGTAATCGATATATTTGGGAACGACAGTTTCGCGTGGCGAATCCTCAGTCAGTTCGAGGTCGTACGCGTGAGCCTCGAAAGAGCCACTACGAGCAAAACCACCTTCTAAGTCTCGTTTGACGTCCGCATCGCCGAGGTTATCGTCGGTCAGTCCAGCTTCTTTAAGCTTGCATCCCAAACGTTTTAATCTAGATCTACCTTCATCGGGACGCTTGTTTATATCCTTGCTGTAGAGGATGTCGGCCGCGTCAACCACTTGTTCCCGCCGATGCCTTGAACCGTCAAGGTCACTCTTGCCGTCTTCCTCCTCCTCGACAGCATCGAAGACTAGCCTACCGTTTCGGAAACTCCAGCACAATTGCTCGCGTTTCCGCGGCCGTTCTACGACTCCGTCGCTTCGGGTGGCATCTTTTGGCACCGTGTCACCGACCGTTGAGTCACAGACGTTGAGTTTGTCGTCGCGGCACTTTTTTACTGCTGCTACCGCCGCTGCTGATGGACTGGAGTCCTGCGAGTTCGGACAGTCGCAAGCGAAACTGGCGGAGCCTTTGGCCGTACATACGAGACTGCAGCTCAGCGAAGTTGCGCATCCGACAACGCCGACTCCGATCGATGAGGCCGTCTCTGGGACCCCGTCCGACGCACATGGATCCCCGTGGGTCGACGAAGGATCGTCGGGGATCGTTTTCGACGAACGACAATCAGCGGCAAGGAGGATTTCCTCGGCGTTCGTCGCGGACGTTCCGCCAGTTTCAACGTTTTCACTTTTCCAGGTCGCGGTTTGATCGTGGCAATTTGCCTGATGCGAGTTTTCGCAAATTTCGCGAGGCTCATCCTGCCGGGAAGCCGGGGGGTCGTTCAACAAGTTGCTCGGTACGCCACGCTCCGCACCGTCGGCGGTCGAGGCTAGAGGAGATTCGGTCTCACCGTCGATGCTCATCGTCGTACCGTTCTGTAAATATATAAATAATAGTATTCACGGTGTCGCAGCGTTTGGTGCACATTGATCGAAAAAAAGTTTCGAATGAATGTAACTTAAATGCTATATACTAGCTGTTCTCAATTATGTTCCGCTAATTTCTATAGCAAATAGAACTTAAAAAAATGCCTGCTTCTGGATAATGCCTTCTTCAGGATACGTAAACCGGCCCCAAAAAGTTATTTTTATAATTTCTTTAACTTTTTCTAATAATTATTAATGTTAAAAATTTCATTGCTGGCTATACATGTCACATGATCTTTTGTATTGTATTTGATTTTTTGTTTATTATTTGAATCATTAATACTTGCAGTGAGCGAGTGATGAATTATAACTACAACTTGACGTTGTGAAATATGTTATAATAACAATAATTATAATAATAATGTAGTGACCGTTGGCGGATGGATGAAACAATCACGGATCACTTTACTAATACTTAACAAAAATATTAACATATCCTGCATCTCACATAACCATAACATAATCGAAACTTCATAACTTTCGTAACACTCCCTAGTCAGTCGAACCAACATTTAAATCTAACAATGACAATAATCTTTATCATCCATTTGCGAGACAATTTTAGCCATCAATTTTATGATATCTATAAACTATAACTATTCAACTATATCCTCCCCAGTAAAGTAAGAGTAGGTAATAGTAAAACTACATAAACATTATATTCACTCTAACAAAAATTTATGTTTAATTAATATGTAACACTGTAAGGGACCAATACCGAAAACTTCACTTATTAGAGAAGTGATTAAATAATATCATCAAGTGATAGAGAATACCTTTGATAAAAAAAATTGCGGTAACTTGCATGAAAATTCAGTTTGCTCAGCAACTCCAGGCAGTCCACTAAGTTAATGCAAAATCTGAAATGAAAGCTACCTCCTTCGATTTAAGAGTGAGGCGGTCTCCTAAGCGCATGGAACATACAAACATACAAACAACAAATAATGCAAACATTTAAAAAAAAAATGCGTGTTTTCAATTTGGGTAATGTACTTGTTACACCACGTAGTAATTAAAAGTTACTAGATAATATTTGAAAGCGGCATTACGAACTAATAGCCCCCAAATAATTTTGCAAATGTATACATTCTATACATTTGCATACAACTATATTATTAATGAAAAACGAAAACATCAATGGCGCTAAATCACTACCCTATGGAGCGCCGCCACTAGCCACACAGACATAATTTTATGATTTTAAGGAAACCATTTTGTTCATGGGTTATCAAGTGTGTTACTTGACTAAAATAATTGGAGATATCAGATGCTTTTCCTTCTTTAAGTAATAGTAATATATTCACAAGTAAGTAATCTAATTTTTATTATTGTTATTATTATTATACCTATATCAAATTTAGAGCTCAAATTCCTTTGCTTGTAACATAAAAGTTACTGCTAACAAAAATTTAAGTTCAAATAATTTACAATATTTTTACTTCATAATTACGTATGAAAATTTTTTAGAATATTTTATTATTTCGGTTACAAATTATTTAAAAATTTCGATGAATACATTTATGCAAAGCACCGAACCGAAAGCGCTAGCCATAGCGAAAATGATAAAGAACCTAAAAACATCCTCATCCCACTGCAGAATCCGCCACAGAACGAGAGAATTGAGTGACGTGTGACTTGACCATCAGAACTAACACAAGCCAATATCTACAGAAAAGATCCGATAGCTGCCAAACCGGGAATCTTAGATTACTGAATACGAAAATATCATGTTTCACCCAAAAATAACATTACCCCATAACAAAAAACTGTTGGAGCAAAATAGCTGGTAGTCCTTTGGCAACGCTGCAGTACTAAATATCAATTTTTTTCAGGTTTTTACGAATATCGTCAACCGCACGCCCACAGCTAGACCAACAAAACATTGAGATAGTTACCCAATTTCTTAGATACTATATCACAGAACAGCCGGATCCACATAAAAAGATTAAGTGTAGAACTGAAACAGCTCGCAGAACTTGTCACAGAATAAAATCATTCTTCACTAACGACAGCTTAAACCAACAATTGCGTCAAAGAATGTTATATTTGGTGCGTGTTGTTATATGGAGCTGAGACCCCTACTCTAAAAGCAGATACGATTGATCGCCTAAAGTGAACAATGCTCCGAATACCCTATTAAGCTAAGCTTGGAGCTTGGAGGAGTCTAATACAAAATTCTTCTTACAATGGTAAAATCGTTAAACTTTGCAGAAGTTTTTACCACCCAATCAGCGGTGTCGTCTTACATTTATTTAGGTATCTTGAACCATTTCGAAGACAATACTTTTCTCGACTTCTTTTACACGGCCTTCTGGACGATGCGCTTTTGGATATATTTTATTATCCTAACTATCAATTTGAAGGTCATCTGAAGGGCAACATTTTTTCTTTATGTAATCAATACGATCTTCTTTGTGTATTTTGGCGCCCTTAATAGTTTCTGAATTAAAAACTATTATCCAGAATTAGAACATTTTCTAACAGAGGATCAGAATTTGGAACTACTTATTTAACGTTTTGTATAAGTATGTATTTTGCACTTTTGCGCTATCTCTGTTTTAGAGACTCCATATGACATCCAAGAACGCCGAAAAATATTACTTTATTTTCATTTCCTTACGGTCACGCGTTTTTCCGATTGGTTAAATCGCGGCAAAGAACTTTCAAATAGATTCGATTAGATCGTCAAACAACAACGTAGCGAGGTCGAAACGAAAACCTGAAAGACTCTAGCCAAAAGAAGGGCAACTAACTATACAAACCGAATTAGCATTTTAATTAAATTCGCCTCGCTAAGAGATTAAAATCCTCCCTTTGTTTGGACGAAAGCGGTAAAATAGGCCGTGTAAAAGCGAGGTGCAAAAAGTGTGTTTTTTTAGTAGGTGCAATTATAATTCGTGTTCATTGTTACGGGGCGACCACTTTGTTCGATACAAAACTTATCTATAGTCGTACCTCAAGGTACCTCCTCGTAATAATATATGAAATATAATATGAAATGCTGACAATCATACGTTTACTCTCTCAAATGAACAAAACCAGTCGTAAAAATGCCAGACCAAAACCGAACGATTTCTAAAGGCATTTTCAACGACTGATAGCAATTAACTGTTAATTATAGAGAAGAAAGTTATCTGCAGATGCAATTATTAAAAAACCTTGACCCGCATCTCAGTGCAATTTTTGTGGTGTCAAAACGTCGACCAATACACGAATACCCTACAAGTAAAAATACCGGAAAAAATAGCAAAGCGTATTTTTCTTTACCGTGGTGTTGACATTTTATATATTGCCGCAAAATGAAGTAATTAACTAGAGATATCTTTCAATGAGAAAATGCGTCTCCTATGATAGATAGAGAGATTTTTTTTTCAAGACGTCTCTAGAACGATGCAAAGCAAGATTAATTAAGTATATTATCAGTAACAAATAAAATGAAATATAGAAAACAAAAATTATAAAATATGTTTAAATGAGAAAATGCGTCTCTTATGATAGATAGAGAGATTTTTATTTCCAAGGAGTCGCCAGAGCGATGCAAAGAAAGATTAATAAGGTACATTATCAGGAATGAATGAGATAAAATATATAAAACAAAATTTCTAAAATATGTTTGAATGATGTCTCCTATGATAGATAGAGTCTCTAGAACGGTGCAAAGCAAGATTAATAAGTGCATTATCAGGAATGAATGAGATAAACTATCGCAAACAAAAATTCTAAAATATGTTTAAATGAGAAAATGTGTCTCCTATGATAGATAGATGGATTTTTTTAAAGCTTAGAACAAAAGTTTCTTGGACTCTCCTGAACATTAAAAATATTATAAATTTGCTGATACAGGGAGTCCCAAAAGTGTCCCCTCCCAAAAAATTTGGTTATTTTAAATGTATATTTCGATATTTTTGGAATCCTTGGTTAAAATAAAGATCACTTTCTTAAGAAATTCCTATTAAAATTTTGCATAGTTTAGGCAGAAACTGAGGATATGTGTTTTTTTTTCATATTTTGATTGTCCATCCTATGGTAGATAGAGTGCTTTATTTTCAAGCGGTCTATATAACAATGCAAAGCAAGATTGATTAGGTACATTATCAGGAACGAATGGGATAAAATACATAAATTAAAAATTCTAAAATATGTTTCTATAAGAAAATTCGTCTCCTATATCTAACTGATAAAGGGATTTTTTTTTGAAGCAGTCTGTAGAATGATGCAAAGCAACATTAATCAGGTACATTATCGATGCTTTTGATTTCCGATACTTACTCGACCAATAGATCGTTCTACGTCCTGAAACCAATCATCTCCACTCACATCCACTGCGTCCCTACTCGAAGAAGGCAAAACTTGTTCCGAACAATTACCGTTTGATGAACCGTCACTTTCCTCACAACTCACATTTTCGCAGCACTTATCGAGCATTTTCCGGGCGCCTCTGGTACCACACACGACATTCTCACCGGACTTCTTTGTCGCAGATGCCGCGCGGAACTTTAAATCGCCACTTTCTCCAATATTAATCTCGACGCTAGCACTATGACACACATCCGCGGCAACAGTTATCTCAGGTACGACCAGCAGATGTCCATCTTTCATTTCATCTCCGCCACCCCGGTACCGTTTGATAACGCTCTCGTTTGAGGGACAACGCGCACCTTTAGCGTTTTTGTCGCAGACAATGCCATATCTAGTTGGTACCGTACCACTCCCGCTGCCCACGTGCGAGACGCGTTTCTCTCGTTTTCGATTAGCGGCACCACGACGATTGTTTACCGGCGGTACTACGTCGACGGACTGAGAGCCGCGGGAACGTTGTTTTGATGACGTAGCCGTTGGCTTTTGTTTCTTCAAAGCGATGGAGGTTATAGTATCGGTTGGGCAAACAGGGACGGACGAGTGCCACTCCTGAAAAAGAAGTGGAGGAATTTTTTTAGTACCCACGGCTGCGTGCAAATGAAATGAAAATGAAGACAAAATCAATACTTTTGGCAATCAATTTTGCTACAATACCCTAAATAATTAATGTAATGATCCACTGTTATCATGTCGCGCGTCCTAATATGAGGGTCGTTCAATAAATCCTAGGGATTTTTTTTTATTTTTCAACATAAGCTCCTTTTAATTTGTTTGGGCGATTACTTCTTGGTTAGACGTGTCATCAAGTATGGAAACAAAGTTATTGGGAGCCAAATCTGGTGAATACGGTGGACGTTGAACTTTAATTCCATAATCTTGGTCATTGCAACTTCGCAGATGTTCACCCGTGCATTGTCTTGTTGAAACAGGATCTTTTTCTGTTTCACATGGGAAACTTTTTCGATTATTTCTTTGGTCAGCTCTTCGAATAACGACGCATAATGTTATCGTTGTTCCTTTTCCCAAGTTACCATTGTAGATTATTCCGTCAGCAGCCAAAAGATAGTAGGCATAACCTCTTAAACTTCCCCTGTTTTGACTGTTCTTTTGTATCTGGCAAGTAGTAATGTATCCGCATTTATCCAGCAGTCATATGTCTACACAGATACTTATCAGGATTAAGGAAAAGCGCCAAAATAGCTCCAGAGTTCACCACAAGATGGCGTTTATTCTATGAGCAAACGGGGCATCCATTTTGCCGTTATATTTTTCAATTTCACACCACAATTTTATTCATCGATCATTTAAAATCATTTCATGTATTTTTTCAATCAATGAGAGGGTCGACACTTCCACACTGCGTCCAGATTTATATTCACCTTTTGTCGATGTAACTCATTCAATGGCAAACATTTTTGTAAGGCCTTACTGAACGACCCTCGTAATAATGTTGTGAATACTTTGAATTCGCAATGACCAGATACATAAGTTTTTAATAAAATTAATGCTTCATCAACATGAACCAATCAAATAAATACGTAGTAATTACAAAAGCAAAGACATTACATTTAATTTTGTTCTGCGATGATCATCGGATATGCCAAAATATAAATTTCCTCTGAAGGAGTTTGCAGATTCACCAAATTCGTATACCCTGCAAAAATCGCTATGAACATATAACATATTATTAAGGAATTGTAAGTTAAAAAGATTTGCATATAATAATTCTGACGAATTTATAACAAAGCATTTTACAACAAAAGGCTTTGTTATAAAATGTGTCTCGATACGAATGATGTAATTTTTTGTAATTTAAGCTGAAGAAACCTCTGGACATTAGAAACCGAAACTAGTAGGATGCCCCTTAGAAGTTGGCATACATTTATTCTAGACTTACCTGTATTAACAATAAACTGTCAGCAAGGAGCCTCCCTTTAGTAATGTTTTTGTGATATATATTATTCTAATTACAGTAATACTATCTAGCATATTACATAATAGAAACTGTCTTTGTAATAATACGAAAAAATCAATGCTGAACAGTAGAAATCAAAAGTACACAATTATTAGTACTGTAGATGCAGTGTAGAAGATAATATATATAGATGTGTAGAGGTTTAGGAATGTCAGACTGTTCGTTGTGATTTCTAGACTTACCTATATCACCAATAAACCATGCACTAAGTAGCCTGTCTCCATAATATTTTCTGATATGAGTTACAATTTTGCATTAGTGCCATGATTATTAATGATTGTAAAGTTGACATTGAGCCAAATAAGATAATGTAAATTTTTCCTAGTAACAATGTAAAAAAAAATATTGTATAGAATAATTTTTATCTAATCCCAAAACATTCATCAAAATATTTACTCAGCCAAGGGCTAATGAACAAAATATTTATAGACTAAGAAACATCGTCCCGTTCATTCTCAGTCATTGTCATAATAAAAATATGTTCAACTGCCATTGTCTTTATTATTTATTATGGAAGTTCTAAAATCTCTTACTATTTATTCAGGGTGTTATTTTGAAAATAGCGAATTCCCGAATTATTAATTTTGTTATAGGCAAGAACCATTTAAGGTGGTATTTTTTGGTATTTGGTTTGTGTCTGGCTACTCATTAACCTCAGGTCAGTTATTTTTTTGTGTGTACACATATAGGATGTTTGCTTGGTAGACAATGATTCAGTGTAAATTCTAAGAGATTGTTGAAGTTCCATTGTCGTTATTATTATAAAATCAAAGGCATACAAGTTCGACAATCTTTTAGTATTTATACAGGGCTAGCGATTTTGTTCAAATCAAGAACCATTGTAGTGGTATAAAATGTAAATAAATCCTTTTTTTATACATTTGGATTAACGAAACTAATAGTGTCTGCTTACTCATTAATATCAGGTCAGTATTTTTTCCTGTGTACACTTACAGGGTGTCTGTAGGAAGGTAGTATACAATGATTCAGAAGAAATACTAACAGATTCTCCATATTATTAAAATAAAGACCAAGGGAGTTCGACGATCTCTTAGTATTAATAAAAAAAATTAGGAATAGTAATAAATCCTTTTTTTTAGTATTTGCATTCACTAAACTAATAGAATTCCGAGCCATTTGTACCGTTAATAAAGTAAGTAAGAGAATCATGAACATATGAAATCTAGGTTATCATAGCCACACATCACTCGTTCTTGGAATACTTTTTCAGTGCTTGGACTCCTATCTATCGCAGCTATATCGACCAGACAAAGAGTGCCAAAAAAAAATACAATTGAATTTTAATTACAGCCACTATCAAGATTTATAAGGTCACTTTAAACACGGCGAAATTGCTCAAATATAATTTTTCTTTAAAAAATTCTTCATAATCTTATCGAATCTTTCAATGCTAATCTTTATCAAGTGCGCTTTCTACAGAATGATTCTGATCAAACTCTCCAATTATTAGATGCGCTCGTATGTATAACAACTGTGCCTTTCTGCAGTGAAGATACTGAATTATTCCACTGAAGCCTGCAGTTGTTTCAAACAAATGTATACAAATTTTGTCATTTCCTTCAAAAAACGTTCGATAAGTTTTAGAAATATCTACTGAAGTTTATTTTTGTATTCCCGACTATGTAACTTAATACGTTTAATATACGGAATCCTGAAATTGAACAACCTCGTCTACCTATCCAGCCTTTGGTTATAAGTAAATAAATGCATAAGTAAATAAATGAGAAGGCTTAATCAGTATTTTTCATATTTTAACTTATTAAACAGACCATATTTTATGCTTAATAATCAGGCAAACACAAACAATAAACCAACAACGGGAGGCTGGTTATTTTCGCGAAAAATTGTTCTTCATTCGCTTCATTATTTAAAATCGAACGGCACAGGGAAAAACCCGTATATACGTTTTAATTTAACAGAAATAATAGATTTCTATTAACACTTTGCGTTTGGGCGCGAGCGATATTTTTTCGGCGTACATATACGTCCATAAAATTTAATTAATCAGTCAAATAACTGGAAAAATATTCGGGTTAAATGAAATTTACGAACTTCCGCCGATATCAGGAATTTATTATTCAGTTTCGGTGATATCGAGTTTTGTAAAAAAGCGCTTCGCAGTAGAATGAAATGGGATAGACTGCAAGTGGTACGCGCCAAATTTGTGGTTAATTTAATCTTTTTTTTTGCGATTAGCAAGTTTCGCGCGCAAAACAACACACGCCATTTTCCGTTTCAGAAATTCAGATTTTCCGGGATTTAAACGATGTCATTGAAATTAATAAACTCACATCCACTTCAAATCCTTCTTATTCGCTTTATTAATTTCGCTTAGATAACTTTGACAACAGCATGCGAAGAATTGAAATTAGTTTTCAGTTATGTAAGAAACCTTAAGGTTTAGTTGTCAATTGCACCTATAACATATATGCATATATAACATCCAGGATATTGCAAATAAAAGGTAACAAGATTAATATTTTTAGCATTTTTAGCAACTGAAAAATTTATTAAATTGTCGCAAAGACATGTTTTGTGGAATAACTACAACAATTTGATGTAATGAAGTCAGTGAAATTAAACATAAACAATTATTTGTCATTGCTTTGAGGCTGTGCTTAAGTTTATATGTAATGACTGTGAGAATTTGATAATAATAATTTTGTCCCTTACATGTACATCCTGCCTCTATCTAATTAAGTGAGAATAAATTAATAACTATAAACTTTTACAAGAAAAACCAAAAAAAGCTGACATTTGTTTTAACATTGTGTGTTTTTTTAATATATTTAATTTTATAGTTAATATTAATGGGGAAATTATTAAATTATTGTCAGTTAGTTCGTTAGCAAAGCCACAAGACTGTAGAGTACAACAGGCAGCGAATTGTGGATCGGATCATTACTTGATCGTGGTCCAACTGGTAGATCCATTTCGAAGAACTGTTACAAAAACCGAAGACCATAATAATACCGCTGAAGAAACTGGAAGAAAAGTACGATATAAATTATTTCTTCTACAACAAGGCGGCATCAAAGATCTATTCAAGAGAAGACTAGAACATGAACTATAGAAAATATCAGTAAAGAATAGTATAGAGGAAGAATACGAGAGTCTAAAACAGTAACAACTAACACGATGGCAGAAAAATTAAAAGATAAAAATGATTCCTAAAATAGATGGCTAACCACAAAATTACCCCAATATAGAGAAGAATATCAAACTAAAAATAGAGAACTAAGGAGATCAATAAAAATAGAAAAGAACAACTTCTGAGACAAAAGTGCATTCGTACTAAAAATAGAGGCATGGAAAACAGATACAAACCTCCAACTAATTTCTATACAAGAATGGAGACAATATTAAACGCATCTGATAGGCGAAAACAGATCGGAATTCATACTGGTGGAGCCACTATTAAATAACGAGGAAATTGATAGAAGTCTAACTATAACATCTGAGGAGATTGCAAGGGCGCAATCCAGAATGAAGAATGGCCGATTCCCTGGCACTGGAAATATCCCCGTTGAATTGTTGAAAGCAGGAGAGCCTGGTATAAGGGATAGAATAACTCGACTAATGGAAAACTGCTGCCACAAATACAAGTTCCGTCGGGATGGAAGTCGGGCACCTAATACCTATTTTAAAAAAAGGAAACAGAACATATTCCAAATACTATCGAGATCTAAGTGCAAATAGTATAAAGAGCCGACTTTTTAGTAAAGTCTAAATTGTTAAAATAAGGCAAAACATCGGTCACAGAGTCGGCGAAGACACACAATACAGATACAGACACTTTCACCAAGGGAGTGAGACACTGATGCACTATTTGATCTATATGTGGCAGCTGCGCTTAAAAGTTTGAAAACACGATGTAGCGATAGATGATAATGATACTCGAATCACTTTATTTATCGCTGACGATGAGATTCATGATGAAACGGCTTTACGAGTAATATAAAACGTGGGGGTTACAGATGAGTCTTGAGAAAACAGAATACTTGGTAGCAAACAGCGATGCTCGATTTCAAGTTCTAGTCACTGATGATGTAGGTATTATCCAACTCTAGAAATTTAAATATCTCGGAGCACTTGTGGATAAAAACGGGGTGGGATATATAGAAATAAAACACATAATACAACAAAGCAGGAAAATTGTAGGAACTCATTCTGGTGGGATAAAAATTCCTCAAATAAAAACAAAAAACGAGTTAGGAAAGCAATGGTGGAGTCAGTTTTGAGCTATGAATCATAAGTGTGGACTGCAGATCTAGAAACAAGGATCTTAGCTATAGAAATGAATTTGTCATGATTAGAAAGAAAACCCAATGATGAAGTAAGAGCTCACATGAAAGCAGAAGAAACGGTGCTGAATCGAATAGAAAGACGATTTATGAAATGGTCTGAACACCTATTAGGAATGCCTGAAGAGAAATCGCCCAAAAAGAGGAGACCGCCAAGAAAAAGAAAACGAGGCAGTTTGATCGTGGAATGAAACGATCATAGCGAAATCTACAGGAAGAGGATGCCTTGGATAGAGAAGTTTGGAGAAGGATAACGGAATGCGGCAAGATGCTGCTAACAGTTGTCATAGTGTCATCTTCTTATTTTAATCGCTTTATAGGTATAATACCAAAACACTAAACACTAAAGGTATTTTATGTTGAGGCATTTCATCTCAAGTATTGTTTCATGTAAGATCAAACTTTCTCAAACCATAACCGAATCGAGCACAACTGTTCTGGATTTTTTTGCAATATGCTTTTTTCAATAGCCGTTAAAAATTGATAGTACAATGGAAGAGAGTATATAACTTTTGATGTATGCCTTAAACAGTTTTTTACGTAATTTAGAATTCAATATTTGTTTATTTACATATACCGTTTTGAGGGATATGTATATCTCAACTGACCATCTATTATTATTATTATTATTATTATCCAGCCTAAGTTATTTTCTGTCTTTGTAAATTGAAGATCTTCATTGTCTGATTGAAATTTAATGAAATTTATAAAGAAATTATGAAAATTGTCGCTTCCAAGGAGAGCAAATAGCACAATTTGTCTTTTTTAGAATTTAGCTTTAGATTTTTTTTTATTATATTGAGAAATGCTATAATAAAATTAGTTTCTACATTATCCTAATTAATTGAGTTAAATGTGTCCAACAGTGGGGAATTATCAGCATAGGATTTGACAAAATTCGAGCACCTCAGACTTGAACCCTGTAGCACTCCTGAGGTAACTTTACAAAAATCTGCTTTGTGTTTTATACGTCACAGCACCGTCAAAATTTAATCGAATACGGTCCTGCGAGTATCAAATTACATACCTTTTCATGCCGGCTCTCATGAGTGAATTCGTCCTTTTCTAACTCGTTCGTCGTGCTGCCGCTCGTTTCCGCCGGTTCCACGCCGTCCTTCTCCTCTTCATGGTAGGCCGATTTCAATGGGTCACACTCTTCCGGTTTTAGATTAGTGGTTCCAATGAGTTCGACGCCCGCCGACGCCTCGTCTCCGTCATAACATTGACGTCCTGTCTGGGATTGCCCCGAGGTCAAACCTACCAAAGTGCCAGGAAATTGACTTTCGATTATTTAGATGCAAGGGTGCGTGGTGATTATATACCCGTAGCTGTGTTATCTCGTACGTTTACGATTCTATTCTGCGAAAACAATAATCGTGGTGGTTGTGTTTAAGGTCGAAGCCGAGCTTCTTCAGATAATGGCGAGAAATCGAGAAAAAAAAAATTCTTGTAGGTAATAATACCGACGTCAAATACAAAAAATAATAAACTTAATAAAGAATCGTTAATATTGCGTAGCAAATAAGTGACAAAGGCGTGGTCTAGCTGCTTTCATTGTACGATTAAAAGCGTGCAAATTCTTGAACGCACCAAGGTAATAAAAAATGCAGCATTTTTGTCGATGCTCCACTTCCTCTGCTTTACTGGACGAGGCAAACCTTCCTCTAATTTTCGGAGTATATAGAATATTTAAAATAACTTATAATGATGAGTTCTTCTTGAGTTGACATTGTTCAATAATAGCAAAAAGAATTTTACTATATTTCAAAGACCTAAACCCAAGAAGAATTCAATCGTTTTAAGGTGAATAAAAAGAATCTATTAAAAATAACATTAGTTTGGTTCACAAGGTTCAAAAAGGCTATAAACAATGGGGCTCCAAAAATAGTTTTTTAATAAAAATTTGAACACACAACTTTGACTGGTTCTTTCAATATTCAAAACTGGTTTTGGAGTTATTTTCTTTTTAGCAAGTATTGGTTACCAAATTATAGGTATATTTCACGAATGATAAAATGGGAAATTCCGTCCAGTTCCCCTCAGAATGTAAAAAACAAATAAGCTTTGTACTCCCTTCTGTCGGACATTTCCGGGATATTAGCGCACGCGACGGTCATTTCAGTGACTGTATTGGTGTAGTTTTTCAAAAATCTGCACAAAAACTAACGGTTGTCGCAAAAGTTTAGTATATAAAACGTTTGGTAAACTTTCTAAGTCACTCGTTTATTAAGCACACACTCCGCTGCGATCAGCTCGTGAAAAATAAAATGTGTTTGATCACTTACGATGTTATACATTGCTCTCATTATTTGCCAATGACGGAGTAAAGCGAAAACTTTGACGGCAAATCGTATTCCTTTGATTAAATTGTTTGTTGGCGGCAAAAATACTCCATAAATATAAAGCAGTACCGAAGAGATTAGAAAAAAAACTTCTATCCTGAGAAGAAATGGATTGATGAAATTTATGTAGTACCAAAAATATGGTAAAACAAAAATAATAATAAAGGGATTGATAATCGTCCATACTGTCAGCGAAGAGGAATTTTTTACTAAACAGAATATAGCAGGACATAGTGTTAATCTGAACTCATATATGTGCAAGTAAAAGGATTTGTAAGAAGGCACAACCAAAATAAAAGATCTTAAGCTACCGTGCCATTAAGGAATTAGTGACATCAGAGAACTGGCGAAAACCAGTCCAGCATGTGATTAAAGAAGAAAAGAAAGTGTTAGATCTTGACTTCTTCATGCGTCGCAGCTTCAACCCGTTACAGATTATGATTTTTCATAATTTAATTTCTGTACAATGTATTTCCTGTGCATACTTAATGAGATTTTATTACTCTCTGAAAATTACTCTCTGAAATAGAATTTAATAAAATATTTTACATACACTAATAATGAAAGAACTAAAACCATAACTTAGCGGTAATTAGAAACTTGTAATTATATTTATTTGTTAATTATTAATGATTAACATAGAAAAATGGTCAAAATTTAATTTTTAAAATACGAGACTATGTAAGTAAGTGATGGATATTAGGCAGAGTTTAAGAAAATCCAATATTATTGTCTTCTTCGAAACCAAAAAGGATCATCTACTTGATGTTAGACTTAATTAATATTAATTATAATATTAATGATCATTATTATACCACTCTTCCACAAAATTTTAAATTCATTTTTTTTATATTTTACAATTTTATATAAAATAAAATAAAGTATTCACCGTTTCTTTGTGCATGACGTAAGAAACGTTAATTTTTAGGGAGCCTGTGTACTGGAGTAACAAATTTACCTGGAAAAATCCAGTGAATAGTATTTGTGGTATAAATTTCAATAAAATAATACAAAAAGGACGAATTTTAGGACCCCGTTATACAGACGGGTAACTTCTGACGAAAGCATTTTCAATCACTTGTTTATTAACTAAGCTGATGTTATTATTTAATATTCAAGAAAAGTTTTTTACTTTAAGCTTACTGGGCTTTTATTTACAAATTTCAATTCCCTCAATTAACAGTTCTATTTTCAGTAAGAACGAGATTGGCATATGACAGATTGCCAAACAACAAAGCAAAGCAACATATTTGATAAATAAATTTCAAAAATAAATTAATTTACATATAAAAGCCTATTTATTTTATATTATTCTGATATGGTAAACATTGGCTTGGCTAAAATGTTCTAGAAAATTTGGCAGAATTTTTCTTTTAACGTTTTTTATTAATCTGTTATTTTATTATTATTGTTATTCAATATGCTCATTAAAATCCAGTGTTTATTAGAACTTTTCATTACGCTTATTTAAAATTTGTTTTCGTTAGCGTGGTCGCCTATTCAATATGGACACATCTAAAATATTTACGCGCCGCTCAGAAATGCCCATTCAATTTGTCGTAAATGCCACTAGGCTCAGGTGTTGAATATGAAAGATTAACTTACCCCCCGTATAATTTACATCGAAGGAATCATCGAGGGCTTCGATAGACACGTGCTCGGACGTGGACAGCGTAACCAAAGAGCTCCCGGATGTGGCTAGTGACGATTCGAGAGATACTTCAACAATTCTGTCGTTCACTCGACTCTCAAAGGAAGTGGGATTGGGTGCCTTTTGTGTCATTTTCGACTGCATTTCGAGCTTTAACAGGAAGGGATTGTACACAATTACTGTGAGTCGACAGTTACTTGAGAATAATTTTCTTACTTTGTTTTTAACACAACGCAAATGGCAGTCTCCCCACTTTGAAACATTAATGTTATTGTACATATTCCAAATTAAATAGAATCTCTTTATTATTATTTTTTCTTTTATTCTTACAATTGGCACAAATTACATTAAGAACATAAGACTGGTACTTAAAATTGAAATAAAAGGATTAATATTGGATAATAAACCACCTATTTCCTTTTTTCCTCTTCATTAGTATTCTTACAAATGGTACAAATTGAATAACAAATATTTTTTTACTTACTGATATTTTTAAAGGAAATGTGGGTTTCAACGGAAAGCAAATAGTAGATTTATAAGTCAGTCAGGAACATGAATACTGTATTCTTGCAAATGGCACAAAATTCGGTTTCTTTTAAGTGCAAGCATAAAGCTTTTCTCTTTTAATAAAGGGTGATTGAATAAGGGTTTCCACATTAAAATAATAAAAAAAATTCTGAAGAATATAAAAATATACAAATATTTTTATTTGCCATTTTAGATTAGTGTATTACAATTAGGTATGAAAGATGATGACATTCAAAAGACCCCCGCGACTCATGTGGCATGACGTAATTCGTTTATTGAAATTTCCTATCACTTTTTGACACAATTCAGGTTCTATGCCGGCCATTTCGCGTCTAATCTCCTGTTTCAGCTCTGGCATAGTGTTTGGTTTATTTCTATACACTCTGCTTTTTAGATACCCCAAAAAAAATCTAGGGGAGTAAGATCACATGATCGCGGCGGCCAATTGATATCGCCGTTACGTGAGATAATCCGACCAGGAAACTTGCCCCGCAGCAATTGCATCGTTTCTCTGGATGTGTGACAAGTGGCTCCATCCTGTTGGAACCACAAATCTTCAATGCTTCCAACTGCTCCCAGAAAAAAATCAGATATCATGTTTCTATAGCGAACACCATTAACCGTAACAGGGTTCCCCGCATTATCCTCGAAAAAAAAGGGCCAATTATTCCTCCGCACCAAAACGCACACCAAATAGTCACTTTTTGAGGATGCATTGCTTTTTGAACAATCTCTCTTTGATTTTCTAATCCCCAAATACGAGCATTGTGTTTGTTTACAAAGCCACCAACGTGAAAATGTGCCTCATCGCTAAAGATGATTTTCGTTGAAAAATGAACCCCTTGTTCTCGTATCCATTCTGCACACACGCGGCGCTGTTGATAATCTCGAGGTTTCAACTCCTGAGTTATTTGGACTTTATATGGGTGTAGATGCAAGTCTTTTGTTAAAATTCGCTGTGTGGTTGAATACGTAAGGCCCACTTGCTGCGATCGATGAGGAATCGATGTGTCTGGATCTTCGCCTACACTTTCGAGAACAATGGCAATATTTTGATCTGACCGACCTGCAAAAGCACGTTGTGGGACTTTGAGGTTAGTTACAAATCCAGTTTGCTCAAATTTTTGAACGACATTCCCAATTATCCTCCCAGAAGGTCGAAAAATTCACGTAGAGCCCGAAATGCATTTTTTCTTGATCGACAATTTTCATAATAGACTTGCACAATTTTTATACGTTGTTCAGTCGTATATTGCTCCATGACTAATTTTGTTTATGTTTTGAGGTTAGAAATCTCATATGATAATAAATAAATACAGTGGCGTTTCAAAAATATTTCAGTTTGTAATGTGGAAATACTTATTGAATCACCCGTTAGAATAACTACTCTGGATAAAACTTACAGTATAGATGTATTTTCTACTCTCTTTTTGTTGCGCCCCATGCGAAACATCCAGCACGCTACCATTAAGAAAACCGAGTTTGTTAGCTGTAACTTAATTTTTTTTGCCTACGTATTATTTATTTTATATATATTTAACCCAGATAAAGTTCCGGAATATTTTTGCCGAAACGATTCGTTGGTAATTTTAATTTGTTTTGCGTGTTTGAGAGTTATTTGTTTAAAATACTGAAATAATGTTCGTGACAGTGGAAACGCGATATTTAAACAGAATAACCAGGATATATCGAACCAATTAACTTTGCGTAACAGCGGAACGAGACGCACAATGGGCTTAATATTTTTGGGGGAAAATCGGAATTGAAACGTTCGTATTTCATAAATTCCCACTTTCCGCCATGAAAAACGTCAGACAAAGAGATGGACCGTCAGATTTTACGAACTAATTCTCTGATTTTGGTGCCAAACTTTTTTTCTGCGTTTGTGTATTATAAAATGATTAATCTCCAAAAAAATGCATTTCCCAACTTACCTTGCCGCCATCCTTCAAAACAAATTTTCTCTTTATCCTAACCGGAATCCTAGATTTTCTGGAGCTAGTTTCACGCATCTTTACTGCACAACTCGCTCCCTCTTGAACGCTTGACTGCAACCACTCTCGTTCTCCGCACCTTCAGGACGTCGGGGGTGGAAATTGCAAATTCAATTTCAGGTCCTTATTGCCCAAAGGGTGTTTAAACGACGGATTACGTCTGGTACAGCGAGGGGACGTAATAACGTCATATTATGTCACCTGGAACGAATTAAATTATTCGATAATTATATTTCCCAAAAATATTATTAGATTATTTATGAAAAAAAGAGTATCTTATGACGTAAGGCGAACAGTTTTTCTTTGGAGTTTTCATTACGAAGCTAGCCAAAAGTTTTTTTTTTCATCCTTATTAGATGAATGTTGCCATGGTAAAACGAGCAATATAGTTACTTTTTGCAATACCCTAACAATGTGGAAAATGGTAAAAATAAATGTTGAATACACTTTTTGAGCATTGTAGCGATCATTTTCTGTGATATGTCATCAACACGCCCAGTTGATTTTGTGAAAAATTGGGTTTTTGTTGTATGTCCCAATGAGCCTTTTGGATAAATTTACCCGAAAATAATAATGCGCCGGATAAGGAATGGATCTTTATAAGAGAACATTTATTCATAAGCTCTAGATATTGTTCCAACAATATATACAGAGTGTTCCACTTAAGAACTGTACACCCTTGTAAAATATTTGTTTATGGTTCGATTTTGATATTTTTTTTTTGTTGGATTGAACTCTGAAAATGCACTAAAACCTTATCATGGCCCACTGAATCTATTTAACAAAAGAGAGAGAGGAGAGAAGTATTATTAGGGATTTTTTAAAAAATAAATTGGCAACGAATTCTTATTCAGGAGTACTTAGAACCCAACTACTTTTATAATGTTTCAATAAAGGGTGTTTGAAATATCGTTTGTGCACCGCTTGTAAAATCTTTGATAACGGTTTCATCTTGACATTTTTTTTTGTTGAAGCTCTCTCAAATATGCACCAAAACTTTATGTTTCTTATTACATCAACCTGAGGTCGTGGCTAACTGGGAGTAATGTCGAGAAGGGCTATCAGGGTTTTCTTTAAGAATAAGGTGTCAACGAATCTTTATTTAGGACTACATAAAACCTAATAATGATAATTCTTTTTCTGTTGAATAGACTTCACTGAAAGACAATAACGATTTTCTTAAAATTAAATATGATTAGAGAGTCTTAGATATGAACTAATCAGACGTTACAACCCTGTACTTTTTTAATTAAAAAGGATTTTTAATTCTCATGTAATAATGAAAATAACGGAAATATCAACATTGATTAACGTCGGCATACTGTTTCCTTTGTAAAACCAAGTTTGCCATGGAGAAGCCAATATTGGACAGTTAAATTCACTCACTAATTTATATTTTAATTTTGTTTACATGTTTCGAATACTAAGATTTATTGTCCCTTAAAAAGTCTTAATCATTATTTTTGAAATTTGCATAATTAAAATTTGTAAGATCTTAAAATCACATACAAAATAATCATTATTTACAAACTTTACAATAATTATTTTTTTTAAACATTAAAAACTTTGATGATTCGTCTAGTTACGTTTAGGTAGTGCGAAACACGAATCTGTTGTCATTTTCAATTTGAAAAAATCTCTAAAAGTACTTTTTGATTTTCCGCTTCACAAAACTGTGTTAGTTAGCCATAACTTTAGTCGATGCTATACAAGAAAACCGTTTCATTTCTCCTTAGTAAGATCCATCCAGCAAAAAAAAAAAAATCAAAATACAGGAGCAATGCTTAAGCGAGGCGCCCACAATATTTTGAGCAACATTTAGGGTTGATGTAGTCTTGAATAAGGATTCATACCAATTTATTTAAAAAAAAATATTTTGTACTAAATGGTATAAGCTAACATTACTTTTAACTCAATCGAGACAATAATAACCCAAAAACTAAAAAAGATAATAATTTGCTGCTCTACAGCTACAGTCAATAACACTACCATCGTTCAATACCAGTAATTAGTTTTAATACAATCATACATCGAAATGAAGCTTTCATTTTCCAAAGCATTTAGATTAAATTCATTATAAACAGCATCGTACCTATTTTAGAAATCCGCAGCCTTCCCCAGTACTTTTCGATATTATCTACGTGAAATTTACAAAAAGCAGACCTAAACAAAATAAACCTCTATACATTGAATATTGGGTTATTAATTTTTGCTATTTATTTCTTGCCGATATGACAGTACTGTCTCAAATTATTGGATAGTTTTGTCGAACACGGAAAAGATGCGTTTAGTTGACTTCGATGTGCAATAAAGAGACAAATGATCATGGGCTTGTTTGAAAGTCATGGTCAACAACAAATGCTGATGAAATAAACTATTTTAGATTTCCGTTGTCAATCATTATTTACATCCACAAGGTGTCAACTGATCAAGTATTTCCAGTCATCTGCAGGTTAATAATGTTGAAAATTCTTTACGATCATCGTGGATCGTTCATAATGTGGTTTGAGAAGAAGCATAAGAAATATAGCCAGCTTATCTATAACAAAGATGCTGTAGTTTCCATTCTTCAGAACATCCTCGATCTTTGAAATGTAGATTTGCATCCTTTCTTCCGTTAGATCTTTAATGCTTCACTCTTTCCGAATGTATATTAATGCTACCATTTTCTCCTTGCCACCGTTTTGCAGTGGAGGCTTAGTTTTCTGATCTTCCATGAAGTCATCTGCTTGCGGTTTTGTAAGATCGACCAGGTGCACTGATAATGTGAATGCTTTGGTTATCTTTTGGGACTAAATTGCTCCAAGGTGTAATTCTTGATTTCCTCGAAGAATTTCGTCTTGTATGTAGCTGGCAGCTGATTTATTCTTGACTGGCTATTCAAAAAATCTTTTTGATCCGTTGTTTTTATTCAGCTTGATACCGTACGAAAATAATTATTAGTAACTGGTCCATACTCGGCATCAAGTGTTTGTTTAAAGGTTCATAGGCAATGATAAATATTGGTGAAATGAGTGATTTTGGATTACTATTTCCTTTAATAATTACTTCTACAACATTTCAACCGGTGGAAGTCCAAAATATATTATTTCATGTTTGTAAGTTATTGGACGCAGGCTGATACCACAAAATTCCAGTTTGAGCGTTGTGATATTTCTGGATTAGGTAACTCTCGTGCTAGATGTTAAATTAGGGATAATGTACTAATTTATAATTAATCAAAATTGATCGCACTGTCAATGAGATTTTAACAAGTCTATAATCGATATTCAAAACTAGGTACCATGGGGGCAGTACATCACGCAAAGTTTGACCGACAGCGTGAAACTGAATAGCAAATCTCCATCCGCCGTCAATGCAGGATTGTCGCACGCAGAAAGCCGAGAGTTTTGATTGATTGACTATTTTAATTAATTCAACAGGAGGCCAAAAAGCGCATCGGAAGCGGGCCGACGTAGATATAAAATAATGTTGGACTATACTGGGCAAGCAATGTTTTTTTAAACTGTTTAATGGCTTTGAAATGTTTCACGCAGCGCCAAACAAAATTTTCCGCACATTTGCATCCCATTTACCACCAGAACTGGAAACCGCCTAGGCCCCAATTTTTTTTTTATGGGCATGATTGCCCAACATTGATAAATGTAAAGGCAATTTTAGATTTACACGGCTAAGAGTTTTTATACAAACAAAAATTTTATGAAAGCAAAAGAGATGTAAGACAGGGTTGCATACTGTATTCAAATCTTATCAACGCATGCTCGGGCAAGATACTAGCTAATAACCAATAAGGCTTTTAAAATCTTATTAGCATAATTAGAAGAGAAGGAGATGTATTTGGATAAATAGAGAACAAAAGAAGACAATATCAGTTTTCAGAAATACACATATAAATGGAGCAGGTTGATAAATTCAAATACCTTTAGGGAGAATATAAATCTGAAAAAACGGTATTACGCTGCCACATGGTTAATGTAAAGACTACATTCCTCAAAATAAAGTTGCTCACAAACTATACACTGACACAAAAGGAATCCAGAAGTTTTGTACAAAGTATTACAGTAGCCTGTGGAAGTTTCTTTTTAAAAAAAAACAACTAACGTTAAATCCCTAACACTGGTTTGTGAGAGCTTATGTTTACTCAATGCTTCCTTCCGTATGGAACTGAATCCTAGACGCTGGGAATTGAGAACGTTCGGAAACGTTTGATATGTGGGCAATGCGCTAAATGATCAGAAAACGCTTCTGTCTAAAAATGGAAAACAAGTTACCTGACTCATATTTACAGAGTCAAAAAGGTGATGAGATATGTGCCTGTTCTTTATGCTGAATTAATTTTTTTTTGGAAAAACTAGGCAGGCCAGTAATACAAATATGCTGTCAAGATGTACTCCTTGATTTTCTACTTGAAGTGTTAAAAGATTTGGTGTTTTCAACCGTTATGTGTTATAGCAAAAAAGCTCCAATACTCATCAACCATCATCATCATCATCATCATTAACAGTCGATAAGTTTCTGAATGTTATTAAACTATATTTCAATAATAAAAAATTTGTAGGAATATATATTAGCATTAAAATAGAGAGGGGGTGTACTATGCAATATAATTTTTAACATTTATTCGGAATACATTATAAAGATGTCCTACATAGCTACAGATGCTGATAAGAAAACAACTGTATGATGGTCAGCCAGAACAACATCCCACTGAGAAAACTAACAATTAATCATTATCCACTAACTGTTGTCTCAAGCTACATTTACCTTAGAAGGAATATAAATGACGAGTGATATCACTCAGTCGAAATTATACAGAGGATAGAAAAAGCCAGTTCACACTATTCACCAAAATGAACATTGTCATTATTTGCCATAAAAAACTAAGGTCCCTCAATTCCGATACTACGTATTTGTAAATTTAATGGGTTTTCAGAATCACTAATGAGGGGGTCTTACGCAGAATGAACAAAAAATGCGAAGCCTCATTTGAAATAAGAAATAAAAACTGGAATACCTGTTTTACATCATGCCTAAGAAGTATCAATGCAGCCTGCTACAGCTCATGTCGCAAGGTAGGGTGCACGAATCTCATGGCTCCAGAACCTGAGAAAATAGTTCTCTCTCACTACGGCTGGACTCTTGAGCTACAGTCAACAAGAGTAGAATAACCATGCAACTAATCAACGAATAGAAAGTATGCA